CCTCGGGGGCACCCCCCCGTGGGACCGTGTGCCGCCTGCACTCGGCCGCATCCAGCCTTTTCCCCAGCCTCTCGGGGCCCTAGCCGTTTGCCAAGTGGGCAGCTCCGAGGCTCTGTGTAGCCCCGCTGGGAACCCAGGGAGCCAGGCTGCTGTGGACCCTGGGGTAGACTGGGTGTGAGCAGGAGGTTCTCTCTCCACCAGCCGTGTTCTGGCCAACTCCAGCCTGCCAGGGCCCATGACCCTGTGTCCAGGTGACCTCAGGAAGTCCCCCACCTGCTGCCGGGGGTAGAAACCCCACTGGGACCAGCACAACCCGCACCCCAGCTTCCCTGTCCCACCAAGCACTTTAGATTAAACTGCTTCCTCCTGCGGACCCCGGCCTCTGTGGGTTGGGCTGGGGTGGGGGTCTCAGGTCGTTCCTGCAGGTCACTGCACTCTCCCACCCTACTCCCAGCACAGGAACAGATGCCTTAACCTCCTGGAGCCACTAGCCTTGTGGGCCGTGGGACTCAGCCCATCTCTTTGGGCCCGTTACCTGCCCCACCCCTGGGGGCCCCATCCGGCTCTCTCTGGCCCCACCTGGGCTGTATGCATCCAGGGACCACACCCCTGGGAGCTCAAGGGCTCTGAGGTCCAAATCCCTGCAGTATCCCAGTCTGCAGAGCCTGCAGGCCCCCCAGGGCAGAAGAGGATGGATCTGTGCTAGCCTCTTCCTTCTTAGGGTCCTGTCCCAGGGTCCACCCTGGGCAGTAGGTCCCTCTCTCCCACTTAGGGACAAGAGAGCCACAAAGCTATTCTCTGTTGTTCTGAGGTATCCCCTCTGCCAATTGAATTCCCCAAAATAAAAATTTTTGGTGTTTACCTCTGTGGCTCTGTCCGACAGTGTGGTCCCCTTGTCTGAGCCTTGGGCAGTGCCATGCTAGACTGGTCAGGGACCCTGGGTTGAAGAGGGGACAGTAGCCCTGAGGATGGTAACGGTGAGTACTGAGTGGGTCAGTAGGTAGGTTGAGAGCCAAGAACCCCTGGTCCTTGCCGGGCTCTTGCCTCTTAGGGGAGACCTTCCTGTGACACCCTCAGCTCAGATCCCCTCGTGGAAGGCTACCCACAGTGGGCGGGGGAGCAGCAGGTGCTGGGGGCCAGGCAGGGGCCCCACCCTGAAAGACATCTCTGCCAGACTGACAGGGCACCTTGGGCAGCGTCAAAACACCTGTCTCCACTTCAGTTTCCTTGGAAATAAGCTCACACGCCAGACGCGTCATTACTATATGTCCAGCCACAGGCCCAGCCCTCAGGACAGACCCCGCCTCCAGGCAGCCTGGCCCCCTCCCTGCTGGGGCCACTGGGCCTCCAGCCTAGAAGGGCAGGAAGTCATCCACCTCGAGACGAAGGAAGGGCTTCAGCACGGCCCGGAGCTTCCAGACTGTGGCTCGGCTCAGCAGGGGTGGCACCAGCCCCTCGAAGGGCTCGGGGTTCACCACGTACACGTAGGCAGCAGTGCAGGCCAGCAGAGTGCCCAGCAGCAGCCTCAGGGCCAGCAGCCTGTGGGCGGCAGCGGTCAGGGGAGGGGCACTGTGGGGACAGTCCCGGAGCGTGGGCTCTGCCTGCAGAGTGACCTACCAGAGCTGGCCCTTGAAGCTCTTGGAACATCCCAGCTGTGGCCTCCCTCTCTGTTGGGGAGGGGCTGTGTCAGAGGGCAGGGGTCCTCGGCTGAGGGGCCCACCCAGCTGTGCCTCCGCCCCGTCCTTCCCCAGGAGCTATTTTCCAGGGTGACTCTGGTTAGGAGTGGGGGGCTCCTGCTCTGGGGCCTGGCCATCTTCTTCCTCTCAAAGGACAGCCGGATCTGCCGCAGCTCATTCTGGATGGGGAGGGGCACAGCGTGGGCTCGGCAGCCCCTTTCTGGGCCCAGCCCCCACCCCTGCCACAGCAGGGCACTGGGGTGGGGCCAGGGATCCAGACCGGGGGACAGTGTTGGGTAGGGAACTCACTGCCACACACGCCATCTGCTGCTCCTTCCTGGCCTGGCTGCGGCGCTGGGCCTGCTCCCTGGGGTGGGGGGTAGGGCACCATCAGGAGCCATGCCCAGTGCCAGCCTGGCACCACCCTACACTGTGGAATTATGGGGTCAGAGATGGATCCCCCCATCCTGATGTGGCTGAGCCAGGGCTTGGGCCCCCATGTCACCCCAGAATCTCCAGCTGAATGTCTTCCATTTGGTCTAGCACACCCCGAATGTCCTTCTTGAGGTTCTGGAGGGCAGAGAAGGTGAGTTAGGCCCTCCGCCCCTACCACTTCACCAACTTTCCCGTTTCTCACCTCCACCTCCAGCCTCCCCACCTTCCCAGGTCATCCTCCAGGGCGTCCCTTCTGGGGACCTACCAGGAGTCCAGTGGCCTGGTTGTTCAGGGCCGTGTGCACCTCTGCCACGCCGTCCCACACCTAGGTGGGAAAGGCAGGATCATGTCCAAGGAGTAGGCCCACAAGGGGTCGCCTAGCAACCTCACCCGCCCTGGGCCAGGCGGGCACCTCCATGATGGCCATCTTCTTCCTCTCAAAGGACAGCCGGATCTGCCGCAGCTCATTCTGGATGGGGAGGTGCACAGCGTGGGCTCGGCAGCCCCTTCCCGGCCCAGCCCCCACCCCTGCCGGGCCCACCTGGGATTGCCACACAAAGGCTGCCTCCCTCTGGCACAGATCGCGTTGCAGCAGCTGCACAGGGGCCCTGTCCTCGGGGGGTCGGCTGCTGGCCGACTCGGGGGACTGCCAGAGAACCCCAGGTCAGTGGAGCGGAGGCCTGTGGCCCTGCAGGCAAGGGTGAGGCTACGTGGTGTCACAGGGCTGCAGTCAGCACTTACCCGGGCCAGGGCCGAGTGCTCCGGACACAGGGGCAGGAAGTGCTGCCCCGGCCCCAGCACTGCCCCCAGCTGCTCGCGGAGGTCCTGGTTCTGCATTTTCTGGGGTTGGAGACAAAGATGAGGTCACCTGTCATGGCCGCCTCTGGGGCCGGGGCTCCGAGGGGAGGCAGAGGCTTGGGCAGTGGCGAGCAGCCTGGATCCTCCAGCCGGCAGAGCTGCACTCACCAGGCTGTGAGTCCGCTCCAGCTGCAGAAAAGATGGTCCTGCAGACCCCAGCCACCCTCTCTGGGGCTGGGGGGGCTGCTGCCCCGGGGGGGGGACTGAGGGCCCTCCTCCTAGTGGCAGGATGGAGCAGGGGCAGGGCCTCGGCCCTGAGCTGGGGGAGGCCCCTGTCTGGGTGGCCCTTGCTCTGACCCGGGGTGGAGGGGGCCAGCCCCACCCCATCCCCACCTCTGTTTTTCCTGGTCTTGGCCCCCCTGGCTCTCTTGCACTCTGCTGCTGCACCTCCTCTTCTTCGCTGGACAGGAAGGAGGCCTTGCCTCCCACCCTGGGCACCCCACCCTTTGCCCCTGGAGCTGGGAAAGTCCTCGCAGACTCCAGCGAGTGGGTGGACGGCAAGGGCACCAGGCAGGGCCACCTTACAAATCCCTGGCAGGGCTGATAGAGGCATCCTCCGAGGCTGCTCGAAGCTGGGGCTGGGGGACACTGGGGGTGAGAGTGGCCACAGGGCCCCAGGGTTTTGGGCCCCTCCATCCCTTCCTGTCACCCCTTCTGACCCCGGGCTCCAGGCTCTGGCCTGGCTGACCCGCCACCCTCTTACTGAGGGTACTTTGGTGTCACGCCGTACACAGGTCTACCCCACGTGACAGTCACAAAGGCCCAGGGAGATCACAATGGGCCAGGGCTGGGGTAGAAAGCAAGCTGGGGCCCCTCCCACCATGGTGCTGTCCTCTGAGGCGGTGCTGTCTCCTCCTCAGTTTCCTCCCTTGGTCTGAGGACTAACGCCCTCCTGGACTATCTTCAGGAGTGAGAGGCTCAGAAAACCAAGTGCTGATGGAAGTCGCCATCAGTCTGCATCGTGTCCCAGCTGGGCTCCAGCTGCCTGAAGGCAGTGGGCAAGCTCAGTGAGACCCCAGAGAATCCGCACCCAGGGCCAGCCAAGCCACCCCAGCACCTCAGAGCCCTGGGCTAAATCATGCTGGCCACCGCTGCACTTGGAGTGGTTTGTCGGGTGGGAATGATGTTTAAGCTTTTATTACAGTGAAGCACATTGGCATCCATCCCCTCGCTTCCTACACGCCCCATGCTTGCCACTTCCTCAGTAACTTCTAGGACTTCTCTTTGGGGAACGCCGTTAGCTACACTCTCATGGCTGCCTCAGTGTCCTGAACTGATTGAAAACATTTACCCTTCGGGCTCATTTTGACTTTGGGGGAAGAGCCAGAGGTCACACGGTGCCAGACTGGGTGAGTACAGTAGATGAAGACACTGTAATGTTTTTACGTGGCTGTCTTTCTGCTGGGCGGCCACCTGGTAAGGGTGCCCGAAGAGGATTTCCAGAGCTGCTTCCGAAAGTGGGAAGAGCTACAGGGTAAGTGTATTCAGAGCGAGGGGAGTTTCTTTTGTTATAATAAAGGTGCTTTAAATATTTGGATCACATTTTGTGTGTGAGTGTCTGCGTGTGTGTGTGTGTGTGTGTGTGTGTGTGTGTGTGTGTGTGTGTGGTACAGCCTCTCGCTCCTAGGGCCCTAATGAACAAAACAACACAAAATTAAATCAAGCACAGGAGGGAATGATGAGAGACCCAGTAATCCAGAGCTGTGTGAGGGCTGCTGTGGAACACGGCGCAGTACTTCACAGCAGCACACTTGCTTCACAAGTAGAGAGAGCACGCTCCAAAACAAAAACAAACACATAGCGTGGGGAGGGCACGGCCCAGGGACGGGTCACTTACCGTCCCTGCCCGTCGTGCTGCGAGGTGCCTGGTGCATGTGCTGGACCTCTGCGGGGCTGGCTGCGCAGCAGCTCCGTCTACGCCTGCGTCACAAGCCTGTGAGGCGTGAGTGTGTTGCACTGTGAAGTCCTGACGGTCACAGCATCATTTAAGCGATGGGACATTTCAGCTCTAGCATAAACGTTGTTTTTCTTCTCTTTTTGCGCTCGGCGTTGAACCCGGGGCTGCGTGTATGACAGGCAGGAGCTATGCCCCAGCTCTCACTGTAATCTTGCTGGGCCGCTGTTATGCGGCGTAGCCGGTTGTGTCCCCAAATGTCACTATTCGGTGCACAATCGTGTGTCCACGTGTTCCATAGGTGTACTTTGGATTTCAGCGGTCATATTTCTACTTGCTGAGCGGTGTCTTCCGTTACTCCCGCGCCTCCTGTTCTGCTCTCATTCTGCCCTATTTTCTTGCTCTGTTCTGGCTCAGGGACACAGTGGGTTGGGGCAGGGCATATTTTATTGTTCGCTCACCTGTCCCAGTTACCTGCAGGAAGCTGGGCCTGGGAAGGAGGGCCTCCCACTACAAGGAGGGTCTTCCTGCAGCCCTAAGGTCTGGAAGGGAAGGAGGGCTGGGGGCTTTTCCGGAGCAGCTCTCACTCACGCCTGCTGCAACCGTCGATGAGGACACCAGAGCGCGAGCCAGCCGCAGCCAGCCGTCTTCTGCTCGACCCTGGTTTGCACCCAGGGAGTCCTCTCCGTCACCCGCACACGCTCCTGTTCTCTTCATCATGTGGTGTAGAGACACAGTGGGGCCACTGGGGGCCTCAGTGACAGAGGGGGCGGTGCACAGACCACACCAATCACATGTGACCTGGGGGCAGGAGGTCCCTAAAAGCTTCCAGGGCCCGGGTGGCAGCACCTTAGAGCCCTGGGCTGACTGGGAACCCACGGGAGGGGAAGGGCCTGGAGCCTGCCTCAGCTGCCCCTGAGCTGCCCTGGAACTGCCAGGCTGCAGTCACCATAGTCCCTTAGGGTCAGGTAAAAGATTCCTGGGTCCAGAATGTCATCAGCTCAAAGGCGGGACCAAGGAAGGGCTCTTAGAGGGCTTCTAAGGTAAGGAGGCCATGGATGGGTGTGAGGCCCAGAGCAGCTGGCGTTGCTTGCAGGATGGTGGGCAGGGTGGTGGCTTTGCTTGTGTTCTGCACCTCCCGGGCCTGCTAGGTGCTTCACAGGTGCCCAGGATGTTCTGTGACTCCATAACAATAGTAGCAACAGTGGCGGTCATGCAGGTGAGCTGCGCGTAAGTTCCTGAGTCCCACTGCAGGTGTCCAGGCTGGGCTTGTCACCTCGTGGCTGTGAGGGAGAGCCCAGGGCACCCTGGGTACTGCATCCCCCTGCCACCTCCCTTTTCCACAGGGAAGCCTCCGTTTCTGCTCACCCTGCCTTCCCTCATCCTGTGCTCTGTCTGGAAGGTTGCCTGCAGTCTCTGATCCAGTTTTTTTTTTTTTTTTTTTTTTTTTTTTTTCACCCGTTGAGCATCTGT